GGAGGAGGAGGTAACAGCAAAGCAACAATCTTCTGGCGCAATAATAAAAATGCTGAAAGCATGGGAAACTGTTGCATCGTACACTGAGAAGCATCACCCTAATAAGGCAGTGGCTATGCGCGCTAAAAATTTATTTAATGATAATGCTGTGTCGCATTTTCACCAAATTTTGAAGTGTCGGCAAAAACAAGTGTCTCTAGACAGCTTTCTAGTAAAAAAGAATTAGACATTGTAATGTGTTGCGTTACTGAAGACGCCGTTCAGATTGTTAACGGGTTTTTTTAACAACCTACAAGTCTCGGCTACAATTAATTATGACAATGTTGCGGCGTTTCACACTTTATAACCCTATTCGCAATAATCTGTTCACTCTGTTGCCAATAGGCTACACGTATTAATAACGCGGGAGCTATACAAGTCTCTCTGAATTACACACTCCAAATATAACTACTACAGCACACACAAAGTCTTGAAAGCACACAATAAGTCTTCCACTCGCTGACTTCTTAGTTATCGCACACTGTCACATAAAATCTTGTAACCACGCGTTCGGGTATTCTTACCGCGACTGCTGCTATATATCAACTCGCCTCGCAGGCAGTGCAGCTCTCTTATATACTCGCAGAGTTTGCCTGTTACCTAGCAGCGCTGTTGGAAGTAGTTTACGTTACCGCGTTACGTCACCGCGGAGGGGGGGACGGAGCGCTGACTCATCCGCCACGTCACTGCTGGGTAGGGAGGGGTTGTCGTTCATTGCGCAACATGTCACAATATGTATCATAAATAATAAACTAATTATTCCGGGTTTTTTTTTTTTTTTTTTTTTTTTTTTTTGAANTTTCAGGTTGGTTCATTCCGCATAGAAGAAAAGATGAAGATGATTCACACTCCTTAACAATGCATATATAATTTTCTTTGAATAAACTTTATACATAAAATTTTTTTAGTGTTTTTTCAGCATGGAACGCATTATCATATTTTACGTTAATTTATATGGGATAAATTGTTTCGCATTACGAGTAAGATTCTGGGACGGATTATGCTCGTTTAGCGAGGTTCCACTGTATAAGTTAGATTTAGCAGGAGGTCAGGTGGGACAGAGGTGGCATCGAACCAGAAGGTGAATATATATTTTTCTATGGAAACGGGAATGAAAATCATGAATTAGGTACAGGTTTTTTCGTACATAAGAGAATCATATCAGCAGCTTAGAGGGTAGAGTTCATTAGAGACAGGATATTATATATTATACTAAAAGGTCGCTGGTGTGATATCATCGTTATGTTTGTTCACGCCCCAGCAGAAGATACAATTGATGACTTAAAGAAGAGGTTCTATGAAGAACTAGAACATGTATTTGATAAATTCCCGAAGTACCCTATGAAAAATTTGTTGGGAGATTTCAATGCCAAAGTAGGGAGGGAAGACATTTTCAAATCAACGATTGGGAATGAGAGTTTGCATGAAATTAGTAATGGTAATGGAGTTAGAGTAGTACTCTTTGCCACATCAAAAAATCTTACTGTCAAAAGTACAATGTTCCCACATCATAACAGCAATAAATTTACTTGGACATCCCCTGGTGGGAAGATACACAATCAAATGACTATATTTTGATAGATATCGAACATAACTATCATGGCGGACGCAACAAAGGTTAGTAATAAGTCTGCGGAGGATTTTGTGGATTTGACTAAAGAGGAATGTGATTTTAAATGCGAAGGTTGCATTAAATATAAAATTGAGTTAACGAAAGTTATTTCTGAATTAAAATTAGCAATGAACATTATTGAAATCCTGAAGGAAGACCAAAAAAATGACGTAATAATGGATAGATTAGTCAAGGCACGTAGCCCTTAAGAAGTTTTCCAACTATCGCTAAGTGCTGAAAATTGGACGCATATACCTGTGCATTCATGAGAGATGGATTCTGTTAGCTCCAGTAAAATTACAGAAACAACGATAAGAACTACAAATAGTTTTGGAGTCTTACATAACCTAGAAAAGGATCAGCCTAGGCAAATCGAGAAGAGTAAGACGAGAAGTCACAAACCTAATGCAACGAACCAAGATTCAACTGCAAAGGAACCTATTTCGTCAAGGACTAGAATTTCATATCCTTGTGATAGTGAATGGTGGTGTCCCTTTTAATACTTATTCAAAGTTTTCAGAAAACGATTTGTCTGCAGTTAAAAGTGGTGACAGTGATACTGACATGCAAATTTCAAACAAAAACGCAAGTCTAGAACAGAATCTTTTAGTTGATAAGACTAAACATTTAATTTTATTCATTGGTGATAGCCATATTAGAGACTGTGTAGATAAGGTCAAAGACAACTTAACTGAAACGTCCAGAGTAATAGGATTTGTCAAGCCAGGAGCTGACATAAGTAACTTATCTACCACGGTAGAGTCTGTGGTTGAATCCTTGACACTTAATAGTTTTTTCAGGTGGAACTAAAGAAATAGGAAAAAATGATTCCAGAGAAGCATTAAGAAATATATTGAATTTTATCAAAACTAATTCTCAAACGAATATTGTTCTGTTGAATATTCCACATAGGTACGACCTTCAAATTGGTCATGTGTGAATGATGAGATAAAAGTTTTTAATAGGAAATTAGTGAAATGTACCAAAGGTTTTAAGCATGTTACTTTATTACACCATGATTTAAATAGAGGTCTCTTTACAAGGCACGGACTCCATTGTAATAAAATGGGGAAGAACGTACTGGTTAAGAATATTGCCTTAATTTGTACTAAAATCTTTTACAGAGATGCAAAACCAATCTATTTGCCTTGGAAGGCAATCAATAATGACCATGATAATGAGATTAAGAATTTTTTTGGCATAAAAGATTGTACTGTTGATAATGTTATGTTAGAAATAAGTAAACCACAAANNNGAGCCATAACGTAAATCAAATAGGCAAAGAAAATTTCCACTAGATAGATATGATGATTTTTTATGGTAGAAGAAAAACAGTGTAACAACCATACTGAAGTCTTAAAGAAAAATGGCTTCTCAATTTATCACCAAAACATTTGTGGCCTTGCAAATAAGACTAGTGAAATTTATGCCCATCTATATTCTGAACTTCTGCAAGCGCTTTGTTTCACAGAACATCATCTAAATTATTCACAAATTGAAAATGTGACCATAGCCAATTACAACTTAGGAACTAGTTATTGTAGAAAGTCTTTTATTAAGGGAGGTGTATGTATATATTTACACAACTCTCTGGATTACGAACCTGTCAGCATTAATGAA